TAGGATTAACGCCGACAGGTTGACAATCGTCTACCAAAAAAAGAGTTATAAAACCAGTGAAAGCTGATATTGCAGCTACCAACAGGCATTCAAGTAATCGCTGCCATTTGCTGGACACATATCTTGAAAGGAGCATGATGATTTAAATTTACATTGACGGAGTCGAACTCCTGTATGGATGAATGAACACTGATTAGTAATTTCAATGACTGAATGAGAGCTCACTTCTTCCTAAATTCGGTCAGCCTGCAATTGAGATAATTGAATAGAGCACCCGTTAGCCCTCCGATAACACCAACGGCCAAAAAGAACGGAATTTCCCAGATGTTGTAATTTTTATTCTAAATTAAATCAAACAATAAAAACAGATCAAGATTGCAGATTGCAGCAGTGTCTTCATAAGAAATTTTGCAAGTAACTTTTGGAAAAATGGTATAAAGTTGGCATCTCTTGCATAGTCTTCATTTTACATTGGTATACCAATTCTGCCACATCACGGTAGCGTGCATCAAGGAGCCTCATTACTTGAAAGACCGTTTACGTCATCAAGTGATCCGCGAAAGGCTTCCGTGCATTTAGCATCCAAGTTCGCATCCGCAGAGTGTACCACTTTCTTAACTCGGAAGGGCGAGATAAAGCGGCCGAGATGCTCGACTAGTGAGCTTTGTTCTTTTCACTCTGCAACACAACGACTTACACGATGGATTAGGTGTATGAATTCCGTTGCCTGCAGTGTCCTAGGACGATGTTACACACACGCTGAGAAAACAGCTTCTCAAACCTTTTACGAGCTCACGAGTTATTCTTTTTTGAAAGTAAACTGCCAATGGCAGTCTACTTCGTATGGCAAGATCCGTTTTGGGCCTCTTCAATTCAGCAGCGATGCAATGCTCCGGCACAAAAGCTTGTAATGCACTGCTTACCGTAGTCCTAATTTCATGCACAGAATTCTTGAAAGCTATTTTCAGTTTCAGTGTATTTTCGTTTTTTCTTTGTATATAGCATTTAGTACTGGGACATGTGAATAAACGAATTGGGAGCCAGGAGTTGCACAAAGGCCGCAGGGTATCGATTTGCTAATATTCGCGGAGAGCTCGTACGATGAATCTCTGTGAGGCTGAGGGAAAACGTTTATTTAGGGTGTTCTCAGGATTTCTTGCTCCCTTCTCTACTTTGGGGTCGTTTATCGACTACTAATTCATAGGTAACCTCCACACGCGTAGTAGTTGATCGCGGCAATTGTCTGCAAATTATTTGATTCCCTCAGCGGCTTTCTTGAGCAGATGGCAGCAAGTTTTTCGGTCGCCCCTCTCCCTAGCCAGTCTAGTATAGTAAACTCTTCTAGTTCCCTCTTATTGAGTGGAATACAGTAATTCGCACTGATATCTGCTCTCACAGATGTTACTAGCTCTTATAACTCCCAATCGGACGTGACCAGAACCGCGATGGCGGTTCCCTCGGCATCGTCTTGATTATCGACCTCGATTTATACTTTAGTGTCGCAGTCCCCTAGCCGCTTTAGCCAACCTCCCGCTAATCTCGTGCGCATGGCCGTTCGATTAGCCAATTCCATACGTACTGATTCTAGAGATACATATATTATACCCACCGCAACTTTGCTATTGCTATCAGGATACCGCGTGATTCGGAGAATCTCACCAGAGATGACGCTCTTGAGCGTAGAGGGGGGGACGTTGTTGGTCGCTGGGAAGGGGAAACGTTGTGGTCGTCAGAGAGGGGGTTAGGGTCGTATCTAGTCCTCATGAAAGCTGCCGAACGGAGAGTGAAATTTTCTGGTTATTGACTTTACGCGATTTTTCCCGTTTCACGAATGTTATGGCCTCTCCCTAGTGAGCAGCGTCTTCAAAGTTCAACGCAGCTAATATTTTGACAGTTTATACAGTTTCTACAGTTGACCGGTAGATGTTCGGTGGCAACCCCTTTCCCAATCAAAAGCAATTTTTTTAAGGAAAATTAGAGGAAACTGGAAAAAAAAGTAGCAGGTGGTCAAGATGAGAGGTGTGTGGGGGAAAGGGGGGGGGGAGGTGGTGGTAGTCGTCTGGCACCGCCGTTTCTCCCAGCTGGGCCCGTTTGCCGTAGAAAATTTCAGAACTATAATTAACCAGTCGGCTAGCCGGCTGACGCCGGCGCCCCTCATTCTGAGACACGGCACGGTTAAACGCGCATGCGCGGCCGCCGCACTTACCTTCTTCCACTCATTTGAATACCCACCTAGTATCCGACATTCTTTTCTCGCATCATAACTGCTACTATCAACACCATTACAGTGTACGGAATGGTGGTAAGGTGCGTTGATCACATGGACAGATGAGAGAAAAGCCGGTTATGATCATACGAAAGCAGGTAGGCACAATGGAGCCACCCCGCTTCAAGGCCGAGCCGTATCACAGAGGAGGCCTGGAGTGTCTTGAGCGATCTGGAACCGCCTTAGGAATTTTCAAGGCTGGCTCCGCCCACCTCGCCCAGATGCATGCTCACACCAAATGGCTTAGTAAAATGGAATCTGGATTTTTGAAAGGCGGACTCTGCTCTAAAATCCAGGCAACAACAGGCTGTTTCAGCCTCATGCAATATGAAGCTGAACAACAGCATCGCATTACCTACAGTTTTGTCTTAGGATTCAAAATAAAACTCATCGTTCGACAACCATGTATGATATGCAACTTGGAACAAGTAACCCAATCGAAACAGCGACTGTTGGTGATCATTGATAAGCTAAATTGGTGAAAAAATAGCCCCAAGGTCAGCGTGTCAGGCCCAGATGTGGATTCAGTGAATGGTGACGGGAAAGTCATGAAAACATGCACGACACAACAAAGCAAAACATGAAAAATACAAAAAAAATGCCAAATAGACGAGATGGAGCCCAATGGAAAAAATGGATAGCCAGGCGGCAGTATATCGTTCTATACTTGGCTATCATCGATCGCAACGTTGCTACCGCTTTCATTGGAAAAACGTCATTGGAGCGCGGTTGTTGCGCCTGCCAACGTCCTGGGGTCTTTTCGGGGGTTATATCTCTTTGAGGGGTGCGGCTTTTGATGAATGGTTAGCAGCATGCAACGGGAATGTTCCTATTGCTGCGTTTTCTACCTAGTTACAATCTGAATGTTTCCCCGTTCGTGAAATATTTCGGATGGGTTTCGAATCGGCTAGGGGTAAATGGCAAACGAGTTTTTATGCTTCACACGAGGATTACTTAATTCGAACGCAATTTCATCAAGATTAAAATGTCTTGAAACCGCCCTATCTATTCTCTTTCCAATAAGCTTTACAGTTTTCCTGAAGACCCGCTAGTTCAGGAGATATTTGAGATGGGTCACAGACGCGCTACCCTCTGACCCACCCGAAAAATCGACTCCTTCTATGTCATTACGAGAATACACCTTCGAAAATTCAGTCTGCCTTCAAAACACATATTTCCCTTCAAATGAAGAGAAGCTCGGCTATCACTGATCGCTTTGGTCCGAGTATGCGCCGTGCATTACACTCATACGCAGAGGTGGTGGAACGGTGTAAATTTTGATTTCAGGTGCTTTTATCCATGCAAGCAGATGTTTGTTTAGGGTTTGGAAAGGATAATGCGCTCGAATCTGTTTGAGACGTATTACTTAGTCATCTACGTACTTACGAGTTCATGCTATTAACCGATATTTATTTATTTATTATTTATTGATTCCTGCTATTCTTGCTATACTGCTAATAAATTTTTTAGTATTTTGTAGTCCTATTTGCATCCGGGTCTCTTGCAGCTCCGTCTGTTCCATCAAACTTAGCAATGACACTTTTGCACTGTTTGATGCCCAGCGAGTCTACTTTTACGATACTCCCCACGTTCCTCGCGGTCAAGTACGAACTCATTTTCGGGGATTTCGCATGAAAAGAAGGCTGTTAAACGTAGCAGTTAAATCTGTAAAGAATACATTCATAATAATTTTTTTTGAACATCTTGGCTTGCATAGCTCCACTCCCACTATCAACTGAAATGTCGAAGCATTGCCTGGCTGTGAGTGACCCTCGAGATTACGACCCCCCTCCCCTTTCCAGCGGCCAAGCACGATCCCCCTATGGGTTTCGCACAACGATGCTGTACCCTGCCCACAACGGGTATGCCTCACACTTGCGAACAGGTGACTACTGGATGACCTTAACCTACTTTTCCCCACAATAACGATTGTTCAGTAGGGCGCAAGTGGCTCACAAAAGAATATAGGCGTGAGGTCGAGTGCATTGCCATAGTCAGCTACGGACTCGTATCATAGTCGACGCGCTTTACCTGAAAAAAGCGGTCGTAGGCGATTTCGCCCGCATATACCTTGCGGGGTGTTACAAAAGAGTGAACTATACATGATATAATGCACGGTAGGAAGTTGAACTCAAACTATTATTGAGAAAAAGCTGGTCTTTTTCCGTCAATAAATTGAAATTCCCATCAACTTGAGAGGAAGGAAGGCAGT